CCCCCCGCTCTCCGGACTTTCCCAGCCGAGGGGCTGTCTGAGCTGGCGGCTGGGCTTCCCTTGCTGTGTCGGAGGGCTGTTGCCAGGCCTTTCTTCCATTAATTTGTCTAATCCCTTTTTAATTTATGCACGCTTCTGGCATCTAGGAGGTTTCCTGTGGTGATGAGTTCCACAGTTGGGTTATGCAGTATATGCTCACGTGAGAGCCCTCTGCTCCAAGACAGATGCTGTCCTGTATAGGAATACACTGAACTACTTCCAAGTATGCCTGTACTGTAACTTTTGTCCAGCATTAGCGAGATTGCAACTTTTTAATCGTACCGATACAATGGAAGATGCACAACCAAGAGAGGTGACAAGGCCTCGGTGTGTGCTACTGAGTTGGGGTTGATTTTTAAATCGTTCTCAGATGTTTGTAAAGCAACCTGTTTGACTTCCAGGTGGCTCTTGGAGGGGGCAACTCGGCTGTGCTCTCTAACGTCATCGATGAGCTTGTAAGGTTCCGCACAAAGGTTCGTCATTATGCGCTTGCTCTGCCAGAAGAAGCAGCAGAAGCTGTGCCAACGGAGGGTGCTGCGGGAGCCAAAGGACCGAAACAAGAACAGAAGGAAAAGAGGCAGCAGTTAATGCAGGAGAGAAAACCCCTCCTGGAGGCTTGTGACAGTCTGCGCGGAGACCTTGCTGCCTTTGGAATCCACATAAAGGTAGAAGACAGTGACCCTCTTTGAGACCGTTAGTCATTTTTTAAGACGGCGTTTATTTTTGCCCTTCGTGCCCCTTCGGCAGCTTTCAGTGTTGTGCCCTGCTCCCTGTACAACTGCAGTAGCAGGAGGTGGAAGTTAAGCCCTTGCCTGGTTGTACTGCTAGCTTTCTCTTCTGCTCCCCTTCAACCTCGTGTCTCCATGCAAGCTGTAGCTACTTCTGCAGTTACTAAGGGTGTGTTATTTAGCCACTGAAAATCACGTAATATTCAGAAATCCCTAAGTTGCCCAAGTTCAATCCGGGAGGAAAGGTATGAGTAATGTGTACAATTTCTAAAAATTTAGATTGCAGAGGAACTGGAAAGTAAACTGAGATGACTTACGAAAATAATGCCTTCCCTCTACCCTCCCCACATTCCCCCACCAAAAATGGTAAGTCCTCACAAGAAAGCCTCTTCCGTCTTCAGCAGCTCCATTCCCAACTGTTCCTGAGCCAGAAGTACTTTGCCCGATTCCTGTACCACTCCTCTCTCCACCCTGCTTTCTACTCTTAGCCTATACCTAATGCCGCTGTTCTTTTCCATTACCCCAATGGTGTTTTCTGCTCAAGAGAAATCCCTGCGCTGCCTTACACTCTCCCCCTGGTCTCAGGGTGCTACCTTACTTCTTTAAGGGGTGCCTCTTCTTCCAGTTCCTCTTGCTTCACCGCCCTTCTCACCTCAGCTCCAGCCCTTGTTGGGTCAGGGTTGCTCCTTACGTGCAGAATAATCCTCCACTTTTCTCTCCAGCGCCTTTCTCCCTCCGGGTCACGCTGCTCGTTTTTTCCCTCGCTCGGGAACTGAGCCTTGCACGGTCTCCTTTCATCGTTTTACCAATGGGAGGATATAAAGCACAATGACATTAGGGAGTGACAGCATACATCCTCTTTAATTGCTGAACGTGAGAGCTGTCATTTGTCAACACACCTATTAAAACCAAATGCGAAGCGTGGTCAGCTGTCTCATGATCTCGGATGAAAGTGAGCATGCTGATAGAAACTGGGGTGAGGGCCAGAGCGCAGTGGTGGTGAGCTACAGCTGGGAAAGCAAAGGAAGACTGTGGGAAGTTGGGACACCTGCTTCCTTGACTTGTTTGTACATAGCTAAATCCTCGCTCTACTTATCTGTCAGGAAAGCTTGCAAATCCAAACAACTGCGCTGAGGCAAAGTCTTGGAGAAGATGGCTCTCTTTTGATCTGTTTGGCAAAACTGCTGCAGCCCTACCCCCACCCTTTTGAAGATTTGTTTTGGGTTGTTTTTAAAGGGATTTATGGACATTTAATAACGTCCTAGAAATTGGCCTTAGCCAGGATTCAGCCCATTCTATTTATTTCAATTTTTTTTTTTAATAACCTGAAGCTCGGCATAATCTGTCTCCTGCTTGTCCCAGAAGTTTGCTCCTGAAGACGAAGCACACATGCACATATGACTACACACAGCACGCATCCAAAGCAATACTCCTGCTTTTTTTTTTTTTTTTTTTTTTGCTGCCTCATGAGTAGAAGTATCTGAAGGTGTGCTGTGAAGGTTGCCCAGCTCTTGCCTTTGCAGATCCCAGAAGAGTCCCGCAAACCGAGCGACGCAGCTCTGCAGTTCCTCGCGTGCATTCCCAGAGCGAACACATGAGAAGACGTGGCCCCTACCCACAGCAGGGCGCTCTCCACCCTCATGCTCAGCATGGGTGGAGGTTGGCTGGCCGCCCTGGGTTGGCTATTGCCAAAAATGCCACGGTAACACAGCGCCTAGCAGCTGGGTCCTGCGTGCCTAATAAGCACTCGAGGAAGTAACTTGAATTTCTCTTTTCTACCCAGCCTCTGGTTTCCGTGGAACTTTTATGAGCCCCACGATACACACGTGGTAATGCATCTGTTAACACGCTCTCCCTCTGTCAGGTGCGGCTGAAGTCAGCCAGCAACTTCTCAAGTCCATGTGCAGGAGGAAAAGCAGCAGAAGAGATGAAGCAGACGAGCCCCATCTCCACCCAGTGCAGACTAGGAGCCCCTGGTTTGGGGCTGGGCAGGGAGGGGTTGGCCGCTCTAGGGTACGAGTAGCAACTTAGAGAACGCTAGTAACTTAATTCCCTTAAAAATCAGCTTTGTAGAAAGGGCAATTTCTCCTTCAGCTTGTAAGTTTGTGATTTCTGTACACTGGTTTCCTCTCGCGCTGCTCGATGCAGACCATGTTCTCTTTGTCTGAAGTTACAGAACTTGCAACAAACTGATTAAAGTATCCACTGGTCTCTTCACGTCATTATAGTGTGCTTGAAATGCAAGCTAATCTGTGCTACTAAGTGAAATGTAGTCATTAGGTTATTTACACGTCAAAACCAGTTTTCACTTTAATGTAAAGAAAATTCTACATTGTTTTCCAGCCTCTCTCATGAGTCAGAGCGCATGTAACATTGTCATGTTTCAATATTCAGATCAACTTTTGTTTTCAACAATTGCAGTCAAACAGCTAAGTCTTAACAGTCAGAAATTCTCGGTTTGACTGCAATATTCTCTTTCAAAAATATTCAAAAGTATTGCCTGACGGATATTTACAGCAACAGGCTACTATCCTAAAATTCAGAAGGAGATCAAATATGTTAGGCGCTATGTTCTCATGTGTTGGCCATAAGAAGAGCTGTTTTCCATGCACACCAGCCATTTAAACATGAAAATGTGATTGCCCGAGTTTAACAGAAGTTACTCGTATGAGAGACTACGCACCACTGCAGCATCCCACGCTAAAGAGGTGACGTTTCCAGTGTGGGTTTTTTTTTTTTTTTCCTTCTTAACTGGGAAGAATTGTCTGGGGTTTGTTTTACAGCTTTGAGCGCCATTAGTGACAATGGTATTCCTGTGAGATGGTATCGCCATGGAGTAATAGCTTTTCTGTACGAAGCTTGGTTAAAAACCTGTGCCTCCAAGAACTGTACGAAACTTGGTTAAAAACCTGTGCCTCCAGGAACCTACCCATGTATGGTACCTGCGTGACCCAGGCTGTGGGGATTGACCCCCTTACTTCTCCTTACAGGACAGAGCTGCCGTTTCAACCTGGGAAATTGTGGAAGGAGGGCAAGCAGGGCAGCAGGCTGAGAAACGAAGCTGATCCTTCATCCTTGGACTTTTTTTTTTTTATTTCATTTCAGCTGCTTTGGCAACAGTTGTAAATACTAACACTTTCCAAATAAAAATGGCTAACAAAGATAAAATATAATCTGAGCAAAACTGTTGACGTTACTACTGGGTAAATAAATACAGGGCTGGCAGCAGGTGTGTATGCGGTGTATGCGGTGGAAGCATCCGCAGTACAGGGCAGCACGGAAGCAGCTGTGTGCTCGCACCCTGTTTTGCTGAGCTGGCGCTGAGAATTAAAACATAGTGAAGACAGAGGCAAGAACTTGGGCCCGTCTTTGAGGGTGAAAACACTTAGTTTTATGCCCACGGGTTTAAACAATTGTGTTCCTCTCAGGCATAGAAGGAGGTGACACTTTTAGCCATGAAGTATTTCCTTATTGCAGCGTTGCTGGTTTGCTCCTGGGAGATCTTTAACCATAATATGGCGGTATGTGGTTATCTGTAAGGCTCGGTATCTTTCCCATTTGCTTTTGCACAGAATACACTGAGGTTTCCCTAGCACTGGGAGTGCAGCACGCTCAGGATCTCGCCATCAGAATTGGGAAGATGATAAAATTAGTGTGTTTAGTTGTAACCAAACAGGTAATCTTTTTTCTTTTGCCATGTTTGCCTTAAACACCCCCCCCCGATGGTGTGGCTGTAGGCAGATGCGGAGGGGCCTGCCTTACACATGAGGCAACCTGTGTTCTAGTGGCTGAGTTTATACAGGGCTTGTGCTTACCTACCAGCATCCCTTCTTCACATCAATTTATGAAAAGAGAACGAAAATAAGAACGTGGGTTCATCTACAAGGAATTTCGTTTGAAAATACAATTCACAAATTCACACAAGTGAGCTGTTCAAAAGGATAAAGGCTTTCTTTTATATGGTTGAGAATAAAATGCGTAGCTGTTTTTCTGCTCCCTTTCTGGTTCTCGGTACTCCTAGAGAGGATCCTAGAGAAGATGGGGGGGGCGGGGGGTGTCTTCATTAGCACTTTGGCAGATGCTTGTTGGACACTGTTGGTATTTTAAATTTGCTACTGGCCGTATTGCTCTAGTAAACTAGAATGAACGGCGAACAGTCAGCTCGGCTTCTGTGGGAAATGCGATGGGAACATACCAAACGAAGTACACACAATTAATTTCCTATTATTTTTATTTCCTACCAAAAGAAACTGCTACATTTCCAGAATGTTTAAAAATTGTAACAATTTGTATACATTAGTGAATAACAGAGTTACAACTTCTGCGTAGATTTAAAACCAACACGGCAGGTTGAAATCTGTACTGAGCTCTGTTAATTGATTGACTTCGCCTACAAATGCCATTTAGATTATAAGACCACTGATGTTCTAAATACAAAAAAACCCGCTCATTTTAAAGGCAAGCCAGTAGCTTTTTTAAAAATCAGCTTTAACTTTTTGATTTTATTTAAAAGGAGCCGGGCTTCTCAAATAGTTTTAGGGGGAAAAACAATAGTAGCTTAGTTTCCCCGTAGACAGTTTACAAAACTGCTTAAATTAAACACCAAAGACCCATCTCTTATGAGTAGACGTTGCTCTAATCTAAAAAGTCTGTGAACCCTCATAGACCAAAATGAGCAAACATTTAAAAACCTATTTTAAAAATAGGTAACTGGTTTAAAAAGAAAAAACGAAAATGCATCGGGGTGAGGTAGTAGTCACAGTGCATCCAGAAATATCAACTCTAAGGGCTGAAGGGCAATACCCAGAGCAGCCTTTCCGATTCCAAGTGCTTCCTGCGGGCAGCTATTGCAAGGTACGAGAATGCAGTCTGACTAGTATGCGTGACACCGTATTCCAACCTAGAGCTAGATCGCTGGAAAAGAGTGGCTGCAATGAATATATAACATCTGTTGCAATAACCAGACACGCTCTATGCTTGTTCCTGCGCTTTAGCGAGTATATACACTTGGAGCTAGACTGTAGGTTTAAGGGCAGTACCCACTTAAATGTACTTCGCGTGAACTTGCCCCTCTCTCCATATTGGTTCGATCCCTACAAGCTTTGACTGAATTTCCAAAATTTAAGAAACGATACTGTGCAAAATCCCACGCAACTCCCCCTTTATACCCAACGCTCATCTGCCCTGCCAACGAGCCAGATGATAGACGGGACTTCTGCTGTTAGGGCCATACCCCTCTTGCTAAGGATCCAGCAAAAAGCCCCTCAGCCCAGGTGCTGCGCTCGGAGCTCAAACACCGACCGCCACTTTTCTACTCCTGCCTTTGATTTCCGGCGTACAGCTGCCTGCACAGCACTAAGAGGGTACAGGTACGTGCTGTTGGCTGCCTTTTGTTCCTTCAGTTCACAGTCCTGCTGGTTAACGGCTAGCCACCGAGGTATCTGTACGCTGATCTTCTCAGAGCTCTAACTCAGCAGGCTATTCGAGTTTTAAAAGCACTTCGCTCCTCCATGATCACCGAGAGTTTGACCAGTTCAGTCAGGTATCACTAAGTTTCTTACCCCGTCTAGTACCTCTCCAAATGATAATTTCACAAAGTTCATCAAATCGAGTTCTAAATGAGTCAAGGCCAGCTAAAGGAATAGAAAGTTTTTTTTTTTTTCAGGTAAGCACAATTACTGTTTAATGCTAAGACACCTACAGTATATCCGTATTCTGCGATGGGGGAACCTTTAAAAAAACCAACAAAACAAACCACCAAACCACCAGGACATTGCAGGAAGGGGTGTCTTGTCAAAATGAACGCTGCCTCTGGGAGCGGGAATGGGAAAAGGCAACTAATTACATTCAAAATCTACAGCAACTCTCACGCGTTCCCTTTCCGAAGAGGCTTACTTTTTGCTTCTTAATATACTAGCATGGCAAAAAATGAAGTGCAATAGCTAATTCTAGACAGAGGGTCTAAGAATGAAAACATGACAACCTTGGTGCAATCCAAGAAATTCAGTTGAGCTGGTGGAAGAATTTTATCTAAGTATCAAGTGCATTTTTTTTTTTTTTTTTTGCTGTTCACACTTTAGTTATTGCTCAATAACTATCAAAAAAACAGAGGAAATACTTTCAGTTATAAGTATCAAGTGTATTTTTTTTTTTTTTTTTTTGCTGTTCACACTTTAGTTATTGCTCAATAACTATCAAAAAGAACAGAGGAATACTTTCAGTTTAGTTTTATTATATTATAACAGATCTGCAACTACAGCTTATTTCAGCCAAAACATTTTTGTATTCCAAACTCTTAAAAAATATCTACATTAATCATATTTTTCTATTCTTAAAAATAAAAAAAAAAAAAATCTACCTAGCATACCAATGCTGCTACAGCACTTGAAAGGGTGCATTACTTATGTAAATTCTACGGTAAATGTAATTACTCTTGCAGTCATTGTTCTTCCTTTTTTTCTTCTCTGCTGCTTTGGCTTCAGGTTTCAAAAAGTTTGTTAAAAGCTGTTCCAACTTCTGAAACCATGTCAGAGGCAGTCATTGAACGTCCGAATTTTTGAAAGGCTTGGTGGTTAGACTGCCTCGTAAGAGAGCAAGCTCCAAATGCAGCCACTAGAAAGGGATTTTGACTAAAAGGAAAAAAAAAAAAACACAACACAAAACAACCAACATTATAAACGAAATCTGAACACTCTTGCGTAATTCATAAGGTGGTGGACATAATCCCTGTACCCGTAAATGTTTGTCAGCATTGTCGGGAAGGCCTCTTAAGCAAACATCTGTGTTTCTCAGACTCTTGCACTGCAGAGCACCTTTGGCTGAATATTTTTTAACAAATACTTCCCTTCCCGTGGCACAGCCTGTGACTGAGTGAGAAAACACCAGCAGGGCCGAAGGATGCAAGAGGAAAACATGCTTAAAAAGTGGGTAAGAAGGTGTTCCATGTCTAGTTTTACCGATGTGAAACTTCATCCTTTCCTTCAGAGGAAGACTGAAGTCTCACCTGGCAGCCGTTTAACTCCCTTTTTCCTCCCCACTCACTGAGTAGCTCAGTTTAGTTTGTATTGCAGGGGATGGGGGAAGGACGTGGGGATGCGGACAAAGAGGTGATTTTTAACAGGGCCATAGTCACTGCTCCGGGGCCTTCATTAGATCAGGGTACGGTGACAGGTGTAGACCACAGCAGAAATCAAGGCACACTCTCTTAATGCCTCCTACACGCTTACAAACTGCCTAAGAGAGTGTACCCAGCCCCAGCCCTCAAGTGCTGAACCTCCGCCGGAGAAGGCAGCACAGCCCCGCCACCTCCAGAGCACCTTCTCACAGGCTGGGCCACGGGAGCCGCTTCTGCTGCCTTACAGCACCAGAGCAGAGGAAAACAACTGCAGAGTAATTCAGCAGCCAGCCCTGGGCCCCAGCTGCTGGCCGGCTAAAAACCTCACGAAGTTCAGCCATGGCTGGGACATCGCTGCCGGTAAGTCACTAGGGACCTACTGACTCCTGCGCCAAGTAAGAGTGTTGTGAAGGATCACGACGTAAAACACAGGCAAAGCAGAACGTGAGTTTACAATTAGGTGTTACCAGGGCAGCTTTGAGTATCTTTTCCTTGAAAACAGCAACTTCATACACTCACCAAGGTGCAGGAGTGAGTATTTAAGCCACCCTGAGAGTCAATCCCAGATGCCCAAATACTGCTCTGAAACAAGAGCTGTGCACAGGCTTCTGGGCTCAAGACAGCTAAAGCACCTATTTCTGAGGTTACCGCATAACCGGTTTGATACACACCATGCTCCAAGGACATCACCTTAGCACCCTGTCTACTTAACAGGAGAATCCTACCTACTATACCATTAGCACCCCCGAAAGCCAGTGCAATCTTAATGTTTCGACATCCTGCTCTGCACAGACCCGTTTTGAAACAACAGAGCCAGGCACGAGCGCGGAAGGACTGGCTGGACAGCCTGCAGTGCAGCCTACAAGCTGATGCCCTAATTCACTGAACCCAAAAAGCTCCTCCTTTCCTGAAACACATGAGATAAACAGGATTGGTACAGCAGGTGTTTGAGAAGGGTCACCTTAACACCACCACAGGAGAAACAATGTATTGCTGATGCCAATTATACTCTCCCACTTTTCCTTCATCTATAAAATAAAGGAGTTTCTGAGCAAGCTGTTTCGAAAAGCCACGGGGGCCCAAGTCAGGAAAGCCTGGAGAACATGTGCTGCGTTTGCTAATCTCTCCAACAATTTAACACGGATCTGTTGTACACCACACAAAAATAAAGTCACCCTTTTAATGAAGTAAAACAAAATTCCTCCTTTAGCGGCAGCTGCAACTTCGGATACACAAACAATCTTGGTTTCGTTTTTCATTCTGGGTATGTTAGATTTCAGAATTTTAAAGTCTGGTTCAGCTGGTCCCTCAGTCCTCCTGGGGGACCTAGTGCAGTGCTCTCACAGTAATGCAAGCACAGACTAGTTAACTCCCATGGACATCGAACGGTGTGCATCTGCACGTAGCATCCAAAAGGCTACAAAAGATCTCCACTCCTCAAGCTTCAATAGCTCATTACTTCTTGGGAAGAGGGGCTGCTATTCCCTAACTGCTTGTGTCAGGGTTCCTTTCAGCTTTATTGAAAGCAGCTGCTTTCACGGAAAGACTATGTGACTATATGGACCAACTAGTCGGACAGGAATGGACATATTTAACTCAAGAGCCAACAGCCAGCTGCACGGCTGCTTTACGTACGACCAAACTGGACTGCCGTTTGGCCTTAAAATGGTTACCCTCTTTGAAACTGTATTTTATTTGCAAGTTTCAACTTACCTGCCCCACCAAATTACCTGGGTACAACGCAAGAGGATTCACCAAATTACAAAACCAAAGCTAAATGACACGTTTTTTGGATTATAGAGATGTTACTGCCAGTGACCACTTAAGTATTTTTCATGCTTTCTGCCCACGTTCAGTTGTTTTGAAAACACATGCCCCATACATGTATGTCCTTGGGAATCGATCCAGGTTCACACTCTTCTTCTGCCTCAAATTTGGCAGATGTTAGATTACTGAAGAGTTTGTCTTCTTAAAATTTTATTATGTAGCCTGCTCTAGAACACCTTACGTTTTTTAAAAGTACATGGATACCTTAGTCCCAACGACTCCAGTTTCATTCGGAAATTTCTATAGCAGGTCTACAACAGTTGCCATAAGAGAACACAGACTCACAAGAATTAAGAAGTTATTAATTAATATTCGTACCCATTTGTTTTTTCTGCTCCAGCAAGAAATGCCCAGTGCGCCAAGACTCCAAGAGAACCGGAAAGGAGGTCCCCCTGTCCACCACATCGCCGGCTGCTTCCTTCGTGACTGCATACAAGTACTATGAACAGACAAACCGAAAACAAAGTCACGTGCGTTTTTTCTTCCATTTGCAATGGTATCACTGTAGCTGTGAGGGTTAACCTCCAAGGCACACAGCAATTAACAGGTCAGAGATTAATCACAGGTAGCAGCATATGCTGAAATACACTATTCTTAAAAAAAAAAATTATCGCATTAACATTTTAAAAATACTTCTCTAATTACTTTTCAATCCCTCACAAATAACACCGCACAATGTATACACTTTCTCCACTTCACTCAGCCTGCACCGAAGATTCAGTCACTCATGAGTTTAGTGACTCATGTGAACTGATGCTGCCACGATGAGCAATCACCCCAAAATGGACCCACCTCCCTCCACAAAGCCATTGCACAAACGCAGCTCTCCAGAGTCTCTGACCTTCAGAGTTTACAAATGTAAACCAAGGTGTTTTACAGGGAGCAAATGCAAAACAGGACTAAAAACTCAAATCTTCTGCCACGCCCATCAGAAAGATATTTCACTGAAAACAGCCTTCTTCTTAGGCTTTGTAAAAACCATATGCAAAGAGAGATCTCTCTCTCTGCCGATCAACAGTGTCCTCAGCATCCGTGTATGTTTCTGTCAGCGGTGTCACTGTGGGTAGGCTCTGTCAGAATATCAGATGTTACCTTTCTATTTTAAATATACAAAGAACCTTGGTCAAACTGATCTCTCTGTGGAGCTGTAACAATGAAGAACATGCAAATGGTTTCACTCCTTTGTTCTCCGCTCTCAACAAGCCCAAGCAGGAAGCCTGAAGGATACGTGAGGCACACAAAAAGAAAACAGCATCAATTCTGCTGCCCTTCTCTAAACTCTCTTGTGGGCACGTATCTACCCTTAGCTTTCCTTCTTGCTTGGCTCTGAAAAAAACCCAGGAGAAATTTCTTTTCCTCTCCGAGGAGAACGGAAGAGCTGGCAGAATCATTGGTGGCCAAGTAGTGATCCTTCACATCTCCAGTCAGCTCCTGTGGAGCTACTCAGGTTCAGGACTATGCACACAATCTTTTGTGCGCTCCTGAGCATGCCAAGTGCACAAGCAAAGTATAAAGCAAGACACTGCTTGGACAACAGCTCTTATCTCAATTTTCTCAGGTCACCTGGGCTGGGTTTCTCCAAGGTGTATGAACAGAACAGCCCAGGCATTTTAGAGGGAGTACTACCCATATTTCTAAAAGGAATTTTTCTCTTACAAAATAATGGGAAAAATCTGCACAAACCTGAAGGACTTGCAGGTAAACTTTCTTAAATAGCAAGATGTAAAAAAACTACTTAACGCAAGCAAACCCTTTCCAGTTCATTTGCATGGTTCATTTCTGCTTTTTGTTACTCGGTGCAGCAAAGAATTGTATTTCACTTCCATTTCCTACCAACTCTTCCAGCAGTAATTGCTGGGCTCGTGAGGGCAGGCAGTTGTGCATTTTTGCTGCCACTGAGAGGGCAAAGATTCATTAGTCACCACGAACACAGCAGACACTGCTGCAGTGTTGCCAGCAGTTAATATTCCCAATCACTCTTCTCCCCTCCCCCCCAAATTAAGATTCTGGATGTGTTTCTCAGTGAGCAGTAGTTAATGTCAAATTTCACAAGTGCAATGCTCTTCTGAGTTAGCTATTTGAAGAAGGTATGCCCTTTTAGGTGACGTAGGTTTTGTTGTAGGGTTTGTTTTTTTTTTTTAATACAGTGCTTTGGAGAAATTACCTCTAATTCTGCTACTTTGAAGATGGTATCTCACAGGATTTTCACTTTGAGGGCTTGAACTCCTGGCAGGAGGCAGGATGGAAATCCTCTGTTCAAAAGCTTTGGGGCCTTCTGACTGACAGCTGAGCACAAGCCCCTGCTTATTAGCTGTATGTCACCATCTGCCACTATTCTGTAGCCCCACAACCTTACAGTCAGTTTTGAGCTGTACAGGAAAGCAAGATCTCCTCAAACTAGGCCAATTATAATACCTTGCTACCAAAAAAAGAAGTGGTCTTTTGTTTGTGGTTTTTTAAAAAGTAAGTCTCAAATATGTGCAGACTACCTCACAGGCAACAACAAAAGCAGACCTTTGTACTCTGCACAGAGATGCTGGAAAACAAACCCACGCAATAGCTTCAAAGAAGCAGAACTACAGGAAATTCACTTGAATGAGGGGGGGAAGGTATAATGCTCCAGCAATTCTTGCGCAGAGGCTCAGTTCCTCAAAGAACATCTCAAAATAAAAGTATGATGAACATTACAACAGGCAATGGGAAAAGGAATGAAAAACTCCTCTGAAGTATAGTCACCGTTAAGAGCTTTTAAAGTAAAAGAAGGAATCCCACACCACCATCAAGACAAACTGGCATACTGCCAAATCCACAAAGGACAAAGTCTTCCTGATGCTTTCCCCAGCCTTCTCCTAGAACAAAAAAAATAAAAGCGCTGTCTTCTCACTGCCCCAATCCAACATCCCCCACCAAGTATCTGTGATCCACTGGCCAGGTCAAGCAGTTCTTTAAGGACCAGGGGGGATGACAGCCTTATATGCTGCACTGAGTAGTGACAACCAGTGGCAGCGTTACAAGACCTCAATTAGATGGACATGACTGAATAGTCAGCGATGATGCCAAGAAGGCGGGTAGTTCTATTCCCTGGAGAGATGCAGAACGATGTATTTACATGAGGATGAAGTATTTTTCGGTCCATTGCTCAGTGAGGCTATACCATGTTCAACTAGGGACGAACATGTACATCAGAAAACCTAGAAAACGTGGTTCTTCCAGTCTGGAATAGCTGAGGAGACCTGGACAACAGGGAAACTGCAAAGACTGAAATCACCACAATGTGTCAATGTTGAAAGGCAGCAACCGGGGCCACTTAAGGTCAATTAGTCTGACACCACTCTCAATCAAAGTAATGGAGAGGTTCATCTATAGTTCAACTGACAGACCTTAAGAGATAGAAACACACAACCGATGCTGGTCAAATTGGCTGCTGGGGCAGGGTGTCCTGTTTTGGTTTTTAATAGGTCTGGGCTACCAAATCTGATGTCATTATTTCACAGGGTGATGAATCGAAAAAATAAGTCAGTATAATTAATAGACAGTCTTTTAATGAAAACTGATTTATGTCAAGCAGCTTTCTGAAAAAACCCTACTTCCTAGCACTTATCCTTATAGAGCATACGCATACTATCATAAGAAAAGGCTAGATGAAATAAAAATGGTATCACTGAAGAAATCGCTGAATGAAGTATGGCAAGGAGATCTGCTGGAGTCACAACCACCACAGCCCTGTTCCACACTTTCAACATAATCTCAGCGATTAAACAGCGCATAAATATTGCCAGAGCTGTACACAGCAAATACAACACGTCCCTCACATATAGTCACCCAGATTTCTTGCTTACCTAAGTCCATCGAAATGGTTTGTACTGAAATATGAGTGCAACAGAAACAAAAAACATGAAGGCTGTCATATTGACAGAAAATTGGAAAGTAGAAATTCAAGTAGGTTCCACACAATTCAAAATTCTGCCCCAGACTTCCTGGGTAACTATGGCCAAGTCATTTAGTAGCTCTATGCTTAATACATTTCAGGCCAGAAAGTAAGTTACCATCGCTCCCTTTTCAGCACTCCTTGAAGAGAAGGTAAACATCAGTATTTGCGGAAGCATTCAGACCATGGTGTGACGCTTAACTATACCATTGCCAGCAAGTTTTAAACTGAAGGAACTCCCAGTCCAAACTGTGTTGGCAGATCAAAGCCCAGAAGAATGACCCATTTACGGGTATTGCATGCTTAATTAAAAAACCAGCCTGTTATGCAACTGAAAATAGCTGCCCTGTCTTTGAACAAAAAAAAGAGGGAATTTAGTAGTTTTGCTGAGATCAAGCACTATGAGTTAACTGGGCAGCAGGAGTTTTGAAATGGCTGTACGCAGGCAGCCCTACTTAAAACACTAGCTCCTAGACACATTACAGTTAGAAAACCAAAGGCCCACATAGTATAAAAAGTAATGTACGTCTGTGTGTTCTTGATTTGCAACATTCATAGTAGTGAAAAAAAAACCCAACCCAAAACAGGGACTCATTTTTGATGTTTTTGTTTAGAACACAGAACGTGAAATATGGGATAGCTAAAGGTTAAACACGTAATACTGATGATGATAAAGAAGGCTAAAGAGCCAATGTGAAACATCACACTTACTGAGGCTGCAGACCAAAAGACAGCTTGGAGATTAAAATTTAGTTCTTGAATCTCGGATGTCCCGAACAAGTTCTTTGCATGTGTTTTCCTCTTACAAAGCAGGAGTATTACACTTATCCTAATGTGCTGAAGGATCCACGCAGGAAAAGTATGACCATTCTGACTTCTGATATGATCCAGCTGGATTAGATCAGCTAACATGAGCTACCCCACAGAACAACAAATACTCTCGTTTAATTAAAAAGCTTAAGATTTCCATTTTCTATGCAAAATAACATAGCTGTCAAGGACCATTTTGCTCCATCAACTGCAAGATTCAGGTTTAGACCATTATCAGATCTTGAGTAAAATCTTTTACCAATATACATCTCTGACCTGGCAGATGTTCATGAGTAGTAAGAAATTTATCTTTTTCCTTTTGCAAGTTAGTTCACAAAAGCACATAGCTGGAGATTGTGGACTCCCAGAAACATGTCCCAGAATGCATACAGACAGGAAAACCAGTGTTGATGACTTGGGCTGGAGAAATCACTCAACTGGTGTGGAAAACGTAAGTTGGCTTTTATATAAAGGGTGCTTATACTTTTGTATTCCCTAATCACACTTTTAAAACTTAGATAGGTCCTTGAGTGCGAGACACCAGGCAATTTAAGTTAAAAGAAAATAATCCAAATTTTATATTACGTTTCTTGGATAGGTGCAGGAGCCAGGGGATGGATGTGATGACAGATGAGCAGTGCCAGGGAGGCAGCAGGCTGGGCTGTGCATGCAATGGAGAGCACAGTGGCACAGTGGACAGGAACCACGACCTCCCTGTTCTGCTCACTCTGCAGAAGCAGGAGTGGAGACGAAGGTGCTGCCTCTCAGCTAAAATCTTGGCAAAATTTGCTGGGCAGCTGGACACCATAAGAGCTTTTAGCTAAGTGAGCTAAGGACTAACAAGCACTGAATAGCTTCCTTTCCGGCTGTGTAGGGAATGAATGGCAGAACTCAGAAGTACTGCTTGAGAATTTATGGCATTTTACCCCATATTCAGTACTCAGTAATCCCTCTCACATGCTTCTTTGCTTCTCTTGACCATAGCTTCAACTGGAGAGAAATGTTTGGCTACTGGCTCCAGGTAAAAGTAGTCACAGGCAGCAGCGGGCTGGTTACCCATAAAGTCTGCCTTTTGGAAGGGAGGAGAGAACAAACACAGGTACTGGGGAAAAATACAGAAAAACTCACTATAACATTAAAAAAAAAAAACCCAACCCAAAAATCAAAATCCTCTACTTCAAGGACCTAACCAAATTTTAAACATGTTAGGAACTAAGACTGGTATAACCACACTTTATTATTGACCAGTTCTCCAAAGAATAATAAAAAGAAAACCTTAGAGAGCTGTGCCATAGTGAATAAAAGCTGACTTACCTTTTACCCACAGGCTGAGTACTCATTCCTACCCTGGTCAGTGATGGCACTGATATCACCTACCAAGAGCATGGTGAAGCTCATCTTTGTAGAGCAGGGAATCAACAACTGTAGACCAAGCTATAATGTGAAATTGCAAAAGGAAAGAGAAAAAGAGTATATAAAACTTAATTTAAAATCTTGGTGATATGTTTACAGGGCAGTTGGCAGCTCTTAACTGAAACGGAGACAAATTTTAGAAAAATCTCCTTTATAGTGGAGGTCTGCTACTGATTTCACAGAGGCCACGTACGTGATTCAGTACTGATTTTAAGGCCGTAAGGAACCACCGGCATTATCTAATCTGATCTGTAAAAACAAACCTCAAAGGTGTCCAGACACTTCACAGTTTGGGAATCTATCAAAGTTCTAGGTATGTTATTGTCATAGCTAATTTCTTCGTCTGTTAATAAAATCTGCCTTACTTTTAATCTGAATTTATTAAGCTTCAGCTTCCAATCAGAATTTATTCTGTCTGTCTGCTCAGATTACAGAGCTATCTGCTGACAGTAATCCTTCACCAACACCTGCACCTCCAGCTCACTATCAAATCACCTGATAACCTTTTTCATCTTCAACTAACAGAAGTAAATTGTCTACTGAATTTCCTACAGACGCATGAGTAAAAGTATTGTGGAAATAACCACTACAATCACTCTCAAGCTATAAAGTATTCACCAAGCCAGTCTTCCCTGCTGCAAATTCGGCATCCTCAAAAAGCCTTCCTTCCACAACAGCCAAGCACAGAACGCTAAAGCTACATCATTAAGGTTGCAATTTCTGCTTTTCCTGGAGGGCATTGAGACTTACTTTTTTTCAGAAAGCATGCACGCAGTATATTCCCAAAGGAGAAAGTTTAAAAGTGATATACGGAAACTACAGTATCAGTGTGCTAAGCACATTTCAAGCAGGAAATGCCTGAAAATAGGTATGGCTTAAGCACTACAAAACGGATGCTGACATGAAAAATAAAAGGCAAGAGGAGTACACAGCTCTTTTCATATTTGATTGTGCTCAGAGGACATTGGCGAGGCAAGAGGAGTACACAGCTCTTTTCATAATATTTGATTGTGCTCAGAGGACATTGGCCTGAACCAATGATCTGGATTTCCCTCACACTGGAATCACCATGTACGTTTGTCTCAGCTGAAAAAAAAAGTGACATCAGATCAAAAGAACAGGCAGATGAAAAAAGCAGAAGTTAAGAACGAAAAACCTGGGAGAGAATTCAACGTCAGTCACACGACAACATGTTCTGTGTTGTGGCACAGAGCAGAGAGTAAATCTCCTTTCTCAATGTAATTTTGCATTTGAGAAGCTTTTAAGAATTGACTGACAGTAACTCCCAGACCCAAAGAACATTCTTGTTAGAAGGAAGCTGAAGTCTATAGTTTCTGCGAAATTCTCAGGAACCTTCTTGCAGGCAACACAAACCGTAAAAAACAGTGTTTGTAACAGACATTATAACCTGTGTTAAACCTGACAACTGCTTTTTTACAGCTCAGCAATGCTGCTTGTAATGCCTGTAATCCAGGAGAGAGAAAGCATCAGTGATAGAACCAAGGTAAGAACAAGAAAGCAGCCTATAGCTGGACATCAAACAATTGCTATAAAGGCACAGAACTGTTTTTATTTCAAATCAAAAAGCCACTTAACTAAGAGAAAAAAAAATCAGAACACAACAGAGACAAAGAACAAGGTGAGGGGAAAAAATAAAATCAACAAAAAGCCCCCAAAGCATACAAGACATACACCAAACTTGTGCCACACCTGAACATTCAAAACTGAAATTGGCAAGAGTTTCAGTTGTTTCCTGGTTTTTTGAATCCTGCATGACAAGCAACAATGGAGACTGAGCATCCCCTCTCTCCGGCAATGGTGGGGGTACACTTATCTCAAGAATAACAGCTCAAAAGGAGAACAGTGATATACTAGGTAATGTGCTCAATCTAAAGCACTCACCCAGTTTTCCCGACATTCATTAAAAAAAGCAACAATCCTGCATAAAGAGAACATGGTTGACATAAAAACAGAGAAAGAAGATACACTACAGTGCTCTAAAGCCCTCTAGCTGGCATAAACTGGAGCCAGGATATTTTATCCTCTGGCAGAGTTCATTCTCCCTTAAGCCTGGCCTGACTGTCCAAGGTTCCAAATCAAGTCTGCTATGGGTGCAAATACGACAGCAGACTTCATGCAGGGCAACTTGGGTACTATATGACCGATCAAAGTCCTTCACCACAGAGGTGTAACCATATTGCTTCCAGATCCCAGCTTGCTTCGCAGTCTGCTATAGTATCTGTACTAATGGGGGTAGGTGGAAGGTGGCTCTGCACAAACCAGTTGTCGTATTACATCTGTTTTTCTGTTATAAAAGACTCCCATGGCTCCCAATAATGAAGAATTGACTGTATATACAAAATGGTTCTGAAGCGGCATAAACATTTATCAGAGATTAGCATTTCAAGTAGTTAGAGGCAGAGCTGCTGCTTGTTATGTATGTGAAATAAGACCACGTAGTCAAAATGCAATGAAGTTACTCATGAATTAATTTTATACTGATGACAGTAAATGATCAGTATAAAAAGCATCAGACAGGCAGCTGATTTTATTAAGTATACTTTAACCATATTAGTAAGTGACTTTTAAAAAGTTGTAATGGCAATCTAGAGTTAATTTGTTGTTTGTTGTTTTTTTTTTTTAAATTGTCAGGGCTACTGTACAAGTCATACATGCACATGCTAGTCTACAGCATGGTGGACAGTATCAAGGAATTGAGCAGCTCATGAACCTCAAGACATCTTCATTTTTCAGACACACCAATATATGGTGAAACAATAATATTATTCTGTATTAATTTAGCAATGATATCTGCACTTATACAGACCATCTCAGCTAAGGATTTTAGAACAGTTCACAAAGAATAAAAAATTAATTTTTCAATACCTGTGTAATGTAAAACATATGTTATAGCCATTTAAATAAGAAATAAAATGAGCAACTTTTTTCAGCAAATAAATTCAGTTGAACTCTTAAAATATGAATTTACACAAATCATCTAAAGGCGATCTGCAAAGACAGCCATCCGTCCCCTTCAATCTTCAGGGGAATACAGTCAACCAGTTACTATATATAGTCCAACCACTGGAGTACGACTGAAAGCAAACAAACAAACAAAAAAAAAATCACATTGCTAAAAGCAAAAGGCTTCACTTACCTTTCTCTCCATCTGAAATAAGATCTCTTTCTCCCTTTTGAACAACTGTCAAATTCCCCATGGCTTGGCTGAGTCTTAATACACATCCATGATGATCACTACTGTCTACGGGGTCTCTAAGCTACAACACAAGAATTCCATACACAGTATAGATTTTGCTACTAGAACAACATCTCTAACACATGCTACTTCAGCGTATGTATGGGGAGGGGAAAGCATCATCATCAGTCTTTCCAAGTATTCTATACCCACTGCAGTGCCAAAAAATGCTTAAGAAAGACGAGTCTTTTTTAAAGAGCTCTGTTTAAGAATATGCACTGTCATGGCAATTATCCCATGGAATAAAAACCCAGAAGAATGCTTCTCTTGCATATAAGAAACAGCACATGATGTTTAACCCAGTAATAAACTGTTTATTTTCGAAGACTAAAAGACTGAACTTACACGTACTTAAATATCAAAAAGGAAAACAGCTCACCATGGCTTCATACAGTCTACTAAACTCCATATAGTTTGGAGTAAGAATAGCTCGCTGGTAGCCTTGAATGAGAGAAGGCTGCTGGGAAATGAGCCACAGTCCATCCTGCAAAAAAACAGTGAGAAGAACATTTACTGAATAGATTCTTAAATGTCAAACCATTGACTGAATCTAGAAAATACTTACAGCATCAATAATGATAGGAATTCCTTTGACTTTCGATTTTTCTATAATACCCTGCAAAAAAATGCAGATAACTTTAAGATGCTTGCTAATTTAAATCTCATAAGACTTGAAACAAATTCATACAATAAAACTGATCGTGTAAGTTGTTTTTACAAAATAAGATACAAAAAAATCTGTTATATTCTGCAAAGTAATATAAGACATTTTCGTATCAACTGGTAATGTTACAGTTACATTGTTCTCTCCCTGGTTCAAGTATAAGCAGTGTCAACAGGGTTTCCATAGCTGACGCCTTGGTGTTGATATGCAAACAAGCAATCAATCTCACTCACTCTCCCTGCTGTAGGAGGCATGCAATGCCAACAAAAGTCACACATAGTAGACATACATCTCCAATTAAAAAGAAAAGAAAAATCCAAATGAGTATTGCCGTGATAGAAATCTACCAATAACTATAACACTAGTTTTAGTTGCTTTTCTGATGATAGCCCCATTGCGGTATTTGAATTTATGTATAAGCAAACATCCCGAGACAAGCAGTACGTAAAACATGTCATTTGACTCATGGTCCTGGAGGTTTTATACTTTCAAAGCAAAACCAAGGCAGCCCAGGCAACAGACCATTTGCTAAAGTGTTTTTCAGCAAGCGGTATCTACCAGCAGACCGTATGCCCTTGTTCTCTCTCCTAACTGAGCAGTGGCAACGACTGCTACTCAAGCTTTTTTAATGAGCAATGGCTGACAGTCAAGTTTTTTTTTTTTAACGTTGGTCATTACCAACTTGTCTCTGAAGCTGGAGAGTTTATCTTTTTCCTGTATAAGATAACAGAGGATGGTATCCATCCAAAAGTCTAATTATTTTGAACGTTATCAAGCTCTTCAGATTAGCTATCATACGGCACTGAGCTCCACAGGTTAGCAAGACATTATCTAAGGAATAAGGAAGCAGTTTTTAATTAATTTTCAGGGTACTGAACATACCTCTATTCTTGTATTGTGGTCAAAAATAAACACCACCCACCTTGCTTCCTGTAAATTATGAATTATGGCATACACACATCCTTGCTAACTCATTCCTATCTGATTCTGATTTTTTCCAATACCAGTAGAAATCTTTCCCTTCTATTTTTAAATGGATGACCAGAATTTAGCAGCGTGCTTCAACCCAACACTACTTTTGTTTTGTTTGGGCACTGTTTGCATGATTTAAGTGTGAGACTGAAACACTACCCACTGCTCCAAGCCTGAGGACTTGTCTCGACACACAGCTGCAGCTACATTAGAAGCCACTGCAGAATAAAAACCTTTCCATGACATACACATGCTTGCACAGGTCTCGGCTTGGGCTGTGTGTCACAGACTGCCAGGTGCCCACCCTTGTTGGGATTCCAAGGGAACACCACAAGCCTTCTCTTATATTCAGTTACTTAAATAACTTTGAACCAATCGCAAGTTTTACACAACTCACACCATTCAGCTACTACTAAATTATTCAAATTTATGAATAAGTATCTTTAACAGCTGTGCAAGGATGGAATCTTAAAACATACCTAGAATTAGTTGTGGCATACTGAAAACCAGAGCGCCTTACTTTCAAAGCTTTTAAGAAATTTATGAGACAGTCATTTCTTTATTCATTAACGTTAATCTGCACAGATGTGCGCAGCTCAGTTTTCCTTCACAGAAGCTGTACTGCTTTGCCCCTGCTGTGTTAAGTTCATTAACAATTATGTTTAATTTGACTCACTTGGTTATAATAAAATAAGGCTGTGGATCTAGCAACCAGGTTTACATTTTTTTTTCCTGTATAAATGAATGTTATACATCCAACAGTCCAATTATTTTTGAACCATACTATGCTCTTCTGATTAGATATCATATGGCACTGAGCCCCAGAGGTTAGCAAGATATTATGCAAGAGAGCATTCAGATCATCCTCCCCCAATTTTTGAAGACACAAATACCATTCACTGCAACCTCATTTTCTAACTTGTTTTAATTAGAATATTTTTGTACATTAGCAGCTTCACCAAACTCCTTCAGTACACTTAAAATGATTACTGCTCCACTTCCCACTAATATGAATCACCAGTTTATTCTAGTAAGTCAACTTTAGTAAGCCAATCTTTCATGACACTTCATTTTTTAAAACCAAAAAAGGTTTCCCCAACAGATTCCATAAGGAAGTCTGAAGGAAGACACTAGATCTCAGAAGTCCTTATCCTTCCAAACTATTCTCTTAAATTAAGGTCAGGTTGGATGGGGCTCTGAGCAACCTGATCTAGTTGAAGATGTCCCTGCCCACGGCAGGGGGGTGGACTCGATGACCTTTAGAGGTCCCTTCCAACCCAAACTATTCTATGATTCTAAATTCATTATGAGCAATCCACAGAACTAATTTTCCTAAAGTTCTCTTCCCGAAACAGTTAAGGTTTGGCTGCTGCTGTTATTGTTTGGCCCCTTTTCATGTTTCCTCCTAACTGTCATCCTGACTACTGGTTAGAAGTTCTACTTTTGTCTATATATGTATCTAACAACAGGCTAAGTCAAGAATCCTGAAGATCCATTGTCCACCAAAAGAATGTAAGTTTAAGAAAAAAAAAAAAGAATGTGGAAGTTACAAAGCATGAAAGTACATGTACAGGTAAACAGCTTCTGGAAGGCTGGGTCACTGATACACTCCAGAGAAATAAGACATTTCTTCCTAATAACATTTTGAGTTCCTACCTCTCCAGCACGTCTTCCACAATCCTGAGACATTTGACCTCTGCTCTGAAGAGAAATTTCATCTTGCTAAGTAAAACCTACTGACCAAGCAACTTTTATTGCGTGCCGAGTCTCTGAGGTATCAGTTTCTATTCTAACATACTGAGTGATCATTGTTTTTTCTTTCTCTCCTTACAAAACAAATAATCAGGGGATACACAAAGTCCTTTGTCTTATTTAGAAAGCTCATTTTTGATTAAAAAAACCCCAATAAACCAAACCCAAACAAAAGAGTACCCTAATTATTTTCCTTTCCTCTTCCTTCCTTAAACCCAGACAGAAACTGCCTGGAGACAGACAAGGAACCTCAGAGAGGAAGTTCTGGGGAGGGAGGAGGTAATCTGGCAACTGTAATAAAGCAGAAACAGAGAGAAGAGAACCCCCATAAGGCAACCACCCGTTTGAAGGACACAACATTCGTTGGAGAACCTCTGTTTCCTATTGCTTGTGGACAGGACCCATCTCATCTGCTGCCATTTAAAGGCTCACCACTGGAGAGCAATTCATCTTAGACATCCGCATTTAGGGTGGGATGAATCACCAACAGATATACCTGCCTCTCCTCAGCTATCGCAGAGGGAGCAAAGACGCTTTACTGCTTTATTTTTAGACACCAAGAATTAGGGGAGATGAAGCCCACTTTTAAACACTCCATTACTGCAGATACTGTATTAAAAAAAATATATATATTTGCCTAAGAGGTGTTTACAGCAATAATGGCAACATCCTCTATGCAGAGTATTTTGTTCCTGGAAGCAAAAGTCATTTTTCAGCTGAATCTGTATCTTTATATTTAGCATGGACTTTCCTGGTTTAATACTTGTAGCTTACAGAAGAACCTTCACTGTTAATTGCACAATTAACACAGCTCAGAGTAACTTTACTTTCGCACCAAAACCTATTTAACCGTTTCTGATAGGACTCTATGTATGAGCAGGAACCATCTGTTCAGTTTTATCCCATGTAACAATTATTTATATGGGAAAGGATTTAGAAGAGAATATTGCTAATTAAAGAAATTAAGAAACGTTACTAAGACAAGACCTGAAATCCAAACACCAATCACACAAGTAAACAGCAACACATACAAGTATCAATGACAAAACCAAGACATCACCCCTTCCCTTCAAACAACACTTTGAATATTAAGATTTTGGAGATTCTAGCTCCAAGATATCCCAGTGGACCACCTTTCTGTGCACAGAATATATTATACCGTAACAGCGGTGGTTCAGCTTGGTGCAGAACAAGGCAGGTGCACTTCCTTCACTCGATTCCTAAGCACTCGAGGATATCCAGAAATGAAGGACTGGACTCACAGGGCAACCTTGGCACTAGCCACAAGTAGAGAGGACAATGAGGAGGAGGAGAGAGTGACATGCTGCTGTCATCCAACCTCATGACCTACAGTCACACTGGTTAGCTAAGATATTGAAGACTGATATCAAAGCTTCCTCTCCTAATAACTGAAGACCAAAGTTTAAGTTTCTACCCTAATTAAGCCAAAGGGGAAATGACCTGGGATTCACACATCCCATGAAGGTGCTGTATGGGACAACCTCCCACACAGTTATCATTTGTTAGTGGTACCAAGTACTCCACATTTAGGAATGCCCAAAACAGTATTTCAGTGATTGCAATTTTTGGTGGAGGTGGTTGAAGGGAGGAGAGCCAGAGGGGGTGAAATTAACCTGAATCTACTCCCACTCTACTCTTGAAATACAGAGTTTCCTGAAAAAAATCTTTATTCTGTGACTGGGTATCCAGGACTCGTATGCAAGCAACCTACTCAATAAGAACTGAAAAAGAAGTTGTGTCACAGTAGAAACCAGGCAGAGCGTCTGGGTAAACAAAAGAAGTTGTGTCACAGTAGAAACCAGGGCTCTATCTGGGTAAAGGTAACCCTTTACTGTAACTGGGAAAATTTACAAAGTAAGGGCGAAGAATTTATGTGTTTTAATTAATTCTTTTATTCTCATGGAAGCTATTCCTTGAAATGCAATGCATTCATTTTAGTAGAAATCTGTGTTCTCTGTCCCAACTTTCACATGGGAATTTTAAAATAGATTCCTAAAACCAAATTCCAATCTTTTTTTTTTTTTAAAAAAAAGAAACAAACCCAAAAACAAACAAACAAAAAAACCCCCACAACCCCCCCAACACACTGAAACCAGAACAACACACACATGAAATCAGAATCATTCAGGCTGGAAAAGACCACAGGAGGAAGAAGCTTGAAGGAACGAATGGACAGGCTACTGCTGAAAGAGGGCACAGTAATGCAG